CCCTGCTCCCTCTCCTTACACTGGTCCCACAGGAGGTCTTACAGAGCGTCGTGAGCCTGATTCTCGTCCTGCGTCGCCTGTTCGTACTGCTCGCACTGGTCGTCGTGTCCCACGTGAGCGTCCTCCTCCTGTCCCTGGCACTCACTACATGACTCTGCGTCCCTCCACTGCTCCTCAGCGTGTCCCGCTGCCGTCTCCTCCTGCGTCCTCTCTGCCTACTCTTCCTGATCCGGAGTCTGACTCCCGTCGTGCTGCCAGTCCCACTGTCACCCGTCTCCTCGCTACTGTTGTCACTGACCCTACCTTTGAGTCCTCTGCTGCGTCTGCTCTGGTCGCTGAGTTGATCGACTTTGCTGCCCGGTGTCGTCTAGACTACGCCACTAGCCTTGTTGCACACTCTTGACCGCGGGGAGCTCTGCAACACCCTACCCGTCGTGTGCCGTTGCAATCTCCTCCCTATCCCACCCCTCCTCCACCTCAAGCCCCATAGTTGCATGCCACAGTTGCCGCACGGGCTGTTCCTTTGGCACTTGGACCAACTTCCCTAGGTGATGTCTTCCATGAACTTGACATCCCTACTGCCGAATACAACTCCCTTGCTCGGTTCCCGTAGCAGCAACCCATTGCGTTCTGCTGCTAAACCCAAGTGCAAACTTCGCACCCAGCTTGTTGCAATGTGCCTTGGGGATGTGAGCCACTGCATGCAGCCAAACATACATAGCATGTCAATGGGCGGCTACTCTTAATGGGAAACTGTGACTCACCACCGACATTTGTAAACACCCTATTCTTTACCGCTGTGGCGTGACGCACAACATGTAGCCACTTTAAGTTCCCTAACCCCGACTCAATGAGAAGAGCCCGTGCTGTCTTCAAGACCATGCGGTTTACCCGTTCTGCTACGTTGTTGGTGTGAGAATCAAGGATCGAGCTCAGAAAAGTGGGTTGTATAATTATTTATTCACCTAACCTAGGAAATCATGCATAAACAGCAAGATAAAATAAGCCTAAGCTAGCAATAGCATAACAAAGAAAAGCCAAGCTAGCAAAGCCAGCATAAGCGGTTATACTTTCACACGTCCCCCCCTCAAAGCTGGGTGGCGTGAGATACACCCTACTTGACAAGATAGTCCTTGAAAGCACAGAATGCATTGCCCATATCAACTTCTGCAACCCAACTGTTCTCAGAGGGGTTGTATCCCTTCCAGCGTATCAGGAACTCGAGGGTCTTGCCGCCGCGGCGCCGATGAGTGAGCACGCGTTCCACCTCGTACTCTAGTTCATCCTGTACGATAGCAGGCGGAGGTGGCGGGAGTTGCCGTCCTTGGAACTGTTGGTTGGGGTCCTTGTTTGGCTTCAGTAGCTGAACATGGAAAGCATTGTGAAACTTCCAAGTAGTAGGTAAGCTCAAGCGGAATGTAACGGGTGTTACCTGTACCCCAACAAGAAGGGGACCAAAGAAGCGGGGCTAGAGTTTGGATGGTAGGTGAGACAGGTTTAAGTTGCGCATGTTGAGGAGCACCTGATCTCTGACTGCTACTGAGTGATCTCGTCGCTGGCGATCGGCATACTGCTTCTGGGAGTTCTGCATCGTGGTGAGACGTCACTGAGTCTTCTCTTAGAGTTGCTGCATGGTGGTGACGAAGTCGTGTGCGGCTTGGACATGTGCCGGTGTGGTTGGCTGCTATGGGGTAAGTGGTCCGCTTCTTGATGGCATCGATCTTCAGCGGGTCCACATGTATGTCGTCCGCACTTAACATATGCCTGGGAAACTGCACCTTCTTCAAGGCGAAGTCGCTCTTAAAGAGCCTCTCGTAAAACTTTCGTGCTCCTTCATGTTTTTGGAGTACATAAGAATGTTGTCCAGGTACACCACTACGCACTTGTCCACCAGGGGCCATGGAATGTGGTTCATCTCCGCCTGGAACGTCATTCGCGTGTTTCAGAGTCCAAACGGCATCACTAAATACTCGTATGAGCTGAATCTGGTACAGAACGTCGCCTTGTGAATCGAGTTGTCCACCATCTTGATCTGCCAGTAAACCAACCGTAGGTCCAACTTCAAAAATATTGTTGCACCACGTAGTTGACTTAGAAGATCGTGTATGGGTAGTATGAGGTATTTGTTTTTAACTGTCTATTTGTTCAGTGCGCGGTAGTCGATGCACATCCGTAAGCTACCGTCTGGCTTTAGGCTGAAGAAAATAGGTGCACCGTAGGGAGAGGTGGATGGGCGAATCAGTTGTCTGTCCAGTAGATACTCGATCTGTTTCTTCATGTCTGTCAAGTCTGTTGGGCTTAGATGGCATGGTGCATGTGGGACGGGTTTTGCACCTGGTTCCTCCACGATCTCGTGCTCGTGGGTTCGTGCCGGAGGAACTCCTACAAGCAGGTCGTCTGGCATGACATCTTTATACTGATCCAACACCTCCTTTACTGATGCTGCTGCTGCTGCTGCTGTTGCTGTTGCTGCCCCTTTCGGGGGTCAGTGTGAAGCGTGTAGAGACCAGAACCCGGCTCCTCGTCAAAGGTGGCCAGGGAGGCATACGTGTCACCGTCCACATAGGTTGCAGAGTCCCCAGAAGGCTCAAACCAAACACCAACGTGCTGACGCATGAGCGACCGCACACCCACCAAGTTCCTAGAGAACGAGGAGACGTAGAGGCCCGTCAGAGAACCCAAGGGAACAGCGGGGAACGGAAGCGTAGTAGAGTGGTGAGCAATGACTGGTCCCGAAGTGGGATCAGCCAGTGCTATAGAGGCAGGCGCAGGAAGCGGAGTAAGAGTCGTGTGGTCGCGGAAGAAACATTGCGAAGCTCCGGAGTCCAAGGTGAAAGGCAGCGACGCGTCTGCCGGAGTAGAACCTGAATGAGTACCTAAGCAACTACTTGCACTAGCAACTGGCACAAGTTCAACACTAGCACCTAGGCTAAATACACGCGAGCAAATAGAGTCAGAAGTACAAGAGTCAACAACAGCATACAAAGCATTTGTAGTTCCTAAGAGTTCAAGTAACTGAGAAGCAGACATGTCCCACAGTGCGGGACCGTACGAGAGAACAAAGGGAAGCAAGTCAGGGCGGTCTGCGTCGTAGGCCGCACGAAGTCTGTCAGTGAGCCGAGCAAAGCACTGACCCGGTGGGTGACGGCGGTCGTAGCGGAGGCCACTGCGAGTACCTGTCTCGATGAGGTAGGGGCACGGTGGGTGGCCGTCACCACGCGACAGATGACGCAGTCCTGACCCGTGCCCCTGACCCTGCTGCTGCTGTGGCTGCTGCAAGAGCAGTGGCTGCTGATGCTGTTGCTGAGCCAGGTACCAGCCGCCACCCCAGCACCCGCAGCTGGCAGTCTCGCAGGTGCCTGACGAACCCGAGCGTCACCTCCACCAGCTGCAGCAGAGGAGCCACTAGAAGCTGCACGAGGAGCTCCACCAACACATGCACTCCCGCCACCGCCACTCGCCACGCCATCTCCGCCGCCTCCGCTGCTTGCTGCACCTTGGCCGTCCCTCCTGCCACTCCTAACTCTAGACCGCGCAGAAGCCGTGACAGCAGCCGCAGTCTCGTCAGTTACGGTAGCGGCGAGGGAGGCAGTGAAGGTGGACAGCTGTGGGACAGTGCACCGGTGGAACAATGGGAGGGGCACAGCGCCAGAGGCAGAGGCTACCGAGCAGAGATTGCTCTCGACGTCCTTCAGTGCAGACTCAAGGACCTCGATAGTGAGCTCGCTAGGGTGCTTCAGAAGAAGCGCGTCGCGAACTGTGGTAAGGCGGTTAGGGGGGTTAGTGAGATGAAATAAACAGTAATCGCCATGGGGGGGGAAGCAGTGCAAGCTGTGCATCAGTGCAGGCAGCGTGGTAGCTAAAATCCAGCGAACGCAGGTGAGCGATCAAGTCAGCAGAACGCTCAAACGAGGCGAGGTCAGGAAACAGGAACGGGAGGAACAGGCGACCAAGAGAGACAGTGGTGGGAGTGGAGTAGCGGGCCTTGATCGCAGTCAGGAACTTGCTAGTAGTGCGTACCTGGGAGGCTGCTGAGAGCGATACAGGCCGTGGCGTCGCGCGACTTCCAGGCTGTCAGGGCAGCGTGCTGACGTGCAAAACGCTCTCTGTCCTCAGTAATGGGATTAGCGCCAAGGGGTTCAGGAGCAGAGGGCGCAAGAGGGTCACCGGATGCGTGCGCCCAGAGGGACTCGTCAACCTGACACTGACTCCCTAGCAGACGCTGCGCACGGAGGAGCCAGACAGAGATGCTACCCTCAGCATCAAAGCTAAAAACCCTAGGCGCAACCATAGCTGAAGCAGAAGGGTGGGGGGGGGAGGCGCGACGCGACAGGACAGGCAAGGCAGTGCACGACGCGACGGGACGGGTAGGGCATGACGCGATGGGACGGGCAGGAGGGCGACGGGACGGGACGGGCAGGGCGCGACGCGACGGGCAGGAAGGCGCGACGAGACGGGACGGGCAGGTCGCGACACGACGGGGCATGCAGGGCGTGGCGCGACAGGCGGGGAGACGCGACGGGACGGGACAGGCAGGGCGCGACGCAACTGAACGGGCAGGGCGCGACGCGACAGGACGGGCAAGGCTCTACGCGACGAGTAGGGGCGTGAGGGGACGGGACGGGACGAGGGCGACGGGCACTAGGGTACGAGACGGGACGGGCGCGACGGATGCTAGAGGACGGGACGGGTGCGACGGGCGTGGTAGGCTAGGCGCAACGAGCGCGAGAGGCTCAAGAGAGAGGAACGGGATCCAACAGGATCCTAACCTAGGTGATACTATGTCAAAAACGGAAATTATGTCAGTGTTCCGTAAGCTGGGGTACATATGCCTAACCCTAGTGTACCCCACATGTCATGACTCACTACAGGCTACAACATTTGACACATTTGTCCATGCTGGTTACTGTATACAACAGATCTCATATTGAACAAAGCAATTGAGTATTGCTCGCACCCCATGGTAATTTAAGTTCCGTTAGTGCTTGGAAGTTCGTTCGTCATGTCAAATCTTGGTTCGACTCAAAGCGTTCAAACAGGGGCGTGGGGATGGCGTGTGAAATGTTGTTGAATGGAATTTCTAGGTCCAGTGCGTAAATCTTCTTCACTCTCTCGTATGTTTCCTGAAGTGGGTGCAGTGCACACAAAGAACAAGATCGCACATGGGTTAGCCATGTTGACAGATACTAACGTTGCTGGCATTTGCATGGCATAGCAGCATGACATGGAAGCACGTCACAAAAAGGGTGACTGGCCGGAACAAGGGAGGAAACAATGAACCTGGTGGAAAGAAGCTGGTGGAAAGAAGCTGTTGTGTATAAAGCACTGGCAGGCAAGCCGGGGCCCTCACTTAATCATACATCTTCAGAAGCCAGTCCTCGAACTTGGTCTCATGAGTTTCGATGCCACTCTAAAGTCACTTTGTATCGATGCAGTGGATAATAAGGCTAGTGGAAAAGAGCTAGTGTGTGCAAAGACGAGGCAGGCAAGATTAGGACTCACTTTGTCATACATCCTCACGACTTTCTCACCTTGTCATACATCTTCACGAGCTTCTCATCCGAGCGGGTCTGGTGCGCGTTGACGCCGAAGTTGAAGATGTCGAGATGGTCGCCTCCGAATCGGTTCACCACATACTTGGCATCCTCCTCCAGACTCTCAAACCGCCCCACAAAGTCGTACTTTATGTGCCCCAGTGCGCACACGTCCCTCTGCGACACATGCATGCAGGCACATGCACACACGGGGCCAGAAACATGGACACATAGGAGCAGACACAAGGGGGTGGATTGGTTGCTGTAGATACCGCATGCCTCCTCGCACATGCCGTGCCTCTGCCATGCACGAATGCTCGAGAACGGGGCTCTGATTCACGTCAGCGCATGCAATGGCTGCAAGGTCCTGCCTGTGGTGGAGCCACCTTGCGCCCATCTCACCTGCACTACCGTGTGTTATTCCAAGCCCCTCCGTCCTTCCTCAAACGCAGTCCCCCCTCAAGCACCACCAATCCATGTGCGCTTCTCTTGAGATATCATGCCCACGAGAAGCACGGAAGCACTCACCTATCGGCCGCCAACAACACCCACCTGCAGGCCGATATGCCGGTCCATGTGCCACCCACCTGCAGGCCGATGTGCCGGTCCATGTGCCACCCACCTGCAGGCCGATGTGCCGGTCCATGTGCCACCCACCTGCAGGCCGATATGCCGGTCCATGTGCCAGCGCCTCTCCTTGAACACGACGCCGACGAGCTTCACAAAGTCGTGGAATGATACCAGATCGTCCTCCTTCTGCACTGCCTCCCACTGCGGCCGAATCAGCCGGAAAAACGCCTGCAGAGGGGGGAGAGGAGCCGGGGAAGGACGTTAGAGTCCTGGAAGGAGCATGGGGAAGCATGCTGCCTGACTGTTTCCCGCTGCAAAGCCCATCCCCCCCACAAAACATCACATTCTTCCCACTAGAGAAAGGCATTCGCTCCCATGATCACTCCAAAGCCAAACGTTGTTCAAACTAGAAAAAAAGGCCGCCTTGGCTCACATTTTGTTCCAGTACAGCACATCACACTGACGGGCTCTCGTTATTCCAGTACTCTCTGGACCCCGGGACCGCCTTGTTGGGGGTGATGACGAGCTTGTTGTTGTACGCTGAGAGGGCGAGTGAGGGCAAGCACACGCCCAAGCAGCACAGCTCAACCTACAGCAACGACTCACATGGTTCCAGTACTCTCGGGAGACACCATGCACACAGCATGCGCCCCCCCTCACTCACGTTGTTCCAGTATTCTCGGGAGTTCGGGCCGGTCTTGTCGGTGATGTCCAGCTGCTTGTTGTACGCTGAGAGGGCGCGTGAGGGCAAGCTCGAGCGGCCAGGCCGCCAACAGGCAGCAGCATGCACAGATCACCGCCAACAGGCAGCAGCATGCACAGATCAAGCAGCACAGCTCGAGCCACAGCCACGACTCACGTTATTCCAGTACTCTCTAGACCCCGGGCCGGTCTTGTTGTTGGGGGAGTCGGTGATGACGAGCTTGTTGTTGTACGCTGAGAGCACTCGTGAGAAGGGGTTGCGCACAAACGTGAAGCGGAAGAGGTCGGGCTGGGTCATTGCCCGCACCTGGGGGGAGGGAGCGGACGGGCCGGGACGAGGTGGAGGGGGAGGAGTTGGATGCATGGGGAGTGTGTGACAATGGGAAGGAAGAGATGCCTTGAAAGTGGGCAGTGGGTACATGCATTGCACATGGTCTGCACATGGGTCGCGCATAGGGGCAGGAAGAGGAGGGCAGCTTGTGGAGCAGCAAGGGCAGGTGTGAGAGGTGGGTGGAGTGGGTGGAGCGAAGACGGGTGGTGGGCGGGAAGACGCTGAGAAGGGGCAGGTGGAAGAGGAAGGGTGGGACGATAGGGAGAGCAGTGGGAAGATCTGCACTCCCTTTGCCACACAGCGGGGAATCATGCAAAGCACAAGTGCTCACCGCACACATGGGAGCGTTGAGAGAGAACAAGGGCCATGGCAGCACACTCACCGCCTGCTTCTCATGGCAGCACACTCACCGCCTGCTTCTCGGCGCTTGGCTCGGCGTAACTGTGTCAAGCGCTCACAGCTCATGGCAGCGCACTCACCGCTCTCTTCACTCTCAAGCAGCATGCTTCTCACCGCCTGCTTCTCGGTGAAGTGCACGTTGAGCATGTGCCAGCCCGCCCTGTCATTGTCCAGTGCAAGCAGCGGGTCCTCGGGGTGTGGCTGCCCCAGCATGGCGCGCAGCCACATGAGCCACGAGTTGGCTGCTACCTTGGGCACCGTGCAGATAAATATCTTGAGCTTCTCTGGTGATGGGGCACGGGGAGATGGAATGGGTGGGGGGATGGAATGGGTGGGGGGATGGGAATGTGGCGGGGCAAGAGGGGGGGGGATGGGTGAGTGTGGTGTGGCAGGTGAGTGATTGACAGGAGCATCATGATGCTCGCACACCAACACACGGGATTCCTCCAATGGGACGAGGGAGTATGTACTATCCACCTCCCGCCATGCCCTTTCTTTTCACTTTATCCTGTCTACCCATCTGCCACCCATCTGCCACCCATCTGCCACCCATCTGCCACCCACCTGCCACCCATCTGCCACCCATCTGCCACCCATCTGCCACCCACCTGCCACCCACCTGCCACCCATCTGCCACCCACCTGCCACCCATCTGCCACCCACCTGCCACCCAACTGCCACCCATCTGCCACCCAACTGCCACCCATCTGCCACCCAACTGCCACCCATCTGCCACCCAACTGCCACCCACCTGCCACCCACCTGCCACCCACCTGCCACCCACCTGCCACCCATCTGCCACCCACCTGCCACCCATCTGCCACCCATCTGCCACCCACCTGCCACCCATCTGCCACCCATCTGCCACCCACCTGCCACCCATCTGCCACTCATCTGCCACCCACCCTACCACCCATTTGCCAACCACCTGCCACCCACCTGCCGACCACCTGCCGCCCACCTGCCGCCCACCTGCCAGGGCCCCAACCCAACCCACCTTCGACCATGGTGAACATGGACCACTTCTGCTTCGTGATTGGCCGGATCTCATTCCGCCGGCACACAGACAGGTGCCGGCGGAAGGAGGGCGAGCGGCGGGCGGCCTGGGCGGCAATGAAGCGCGCCTCCACCGCGCTGCTGTTCACCGCCACCAGCCCCGCCGCTAGGCTGAGGGAGAAGAGTTCCGATACCTGGTGGGGTGGGGAGATTAGTGCGGGGAGAGAGGAGGGGGAGTGGGGGAGAGAGGCTCCATGGCACTGCTGCAGTTCACCGCCGCCAGCCCTGCCGCTAGGCTGAGAGAGAACAGCTCTGCTACCTGGTGGGGTGTGGAGGTAAGTGCGGGGAGAAGAGGAGGGGGAGTGGGGGGGAGAGGCTCCATGGCGCTGCTGTTGATGGCCACCAGGCCCACTGTGAGGCTGAGCTGAGCGAGGGAGACGAGCTCTGCTCCCTGAAGAATGAAGAGGAGGGGAGTGGGGAGTAGGGGGGAGTGGGGAGTAGGGAGGAGTGGCGAGATTTGGGTTGCTACTCAAAATGCATGTAGGACTGCAATCGATTGATACATGGATTGATGGGCAGCATGGGAGGAGCATGGGAGGAGCATGGGAGGAGCATGGGAGGAGCATGGGAGGAGCATGGGAGGAGCATGGGAGGAGCATGGGAGGAGCATGGGAGGAGCATGGGAGGAGCATGGGAGGAGCATGGGAGGAGCATGGGAGGAGCATGGGAGGAGCATGGGAGGAGCACGGGAGGAGCATGGGAGGAGCATTGGAGGAGCATGGGAGGAGCATGGGAGGGGCATTGGAGGAGCATGGGGGACAAGGCATGGCCGGCTGCGAGGCTGAGGGAGACGAGCTCCGTCACCTGAAAGGGGGGAAGGGGGGAAGGGGGAGAGCGGGTGGGGGGGGGTTGAGGGAGGGGAGTGTGGAAGGAGGAGGGGGGCGAGTGATGCGGTTAGAGTGACGTTGGTCGGACTGGCTGTGCTGACAGTCTGTCTGACAGAGGAGCTCTCAGACGGATGACCGACGGGGAAGAAGGGGACAAGAAGCAACAAGCACAGCGCGCAGAGTGCAGGGCAGAAAATCTTGGCACTGCCTAGCGACAACCAAAAGGGTTGAAGTGGGGGGGAGCCAAGGAGAGCTTTGGGTTCCGCACCGTGCAGAGAATGGCAAGCCCACCTGAAGCTGATGACACCGCATGAGAGTCTCATCTGACACCTCCAATCTCCTCACCACTCTTCTCACTCTCCTCCGCAACCCTCCCCCTTCCCTCCTCTCCCCCTCCTGCCCCATCCCCTCCCCCTCCCTCAGCACCTCTCCCCCCACCACATCCTCCTCTGCACTCCCCACCCCCTTCTCCCCTCCCTCTCCCTCCCCCTCCTCCACCCCAACCTCCTCCTCCAGCTGACACGTGGCAACGCGCGATTGGGTGGCGTGGAGCAGGGCCGGGGAGCAGGCGGGGGGAAAGTAGTCCATGATGTGCGGCACGTGGGCGGGCGAGTGGGCGGCGAGGGTGAAGGAGACGGCACGGTCGGCCAGGTACGTCATGGCGATGCGGCGCATGGCGCACATGGGGGGTGAATACTCCGACTCCTCGCTGCACCCAGGGCACCCCGTGGGGCCCAGCGGCTGGGATGGGGGAGTGGGGGGTGGGGAGTGGGGGATTGGGGAACAATGGATTGTGAAGCGGGATTGAGAATGAGGAATGGAGAAACAAAGGATTGGAGGAGTGCACGAGAGATGGGCGGCGAGGGTGAAGGAGGCGTCGCATATGGTCATGGCGATGTGGCACATGGGGTGAATATTCTGACTCCCCGCTTCAGCCAGCACATCCAAGGGGCTGGGAAGAGGGGAGTGGGGAGTGGGGACTCTTGAGACAGCTTGGATCCAAGTGAGGTAGGTCATAGGCAATGCGAGGCATGCGAGGCATGGGGGGGAAGAAGTCCGACTCCTCACATCAACATAGAAGGCAGTGGAGTTGGCGAGGCGGTGCACGCCCTTCTTGAGAACCAGCAGCACAGCACAGTGCGTGCATGGGCGGGTGTAGGGTGCAAATGGCAAGAGCATGACATGACAGCATGCGGTACACTACACTCCCTCACATCAACATAGAAGGCGGTGGATTTAGCAATGCGGTGCACGTCCTCTTTGAGAACCAGCGCCGCCACAAACGGGGATGGCTCCAGGGTGCCCAGACACTCCTCCACCCGCCGCTCGAACTCACACCCCTCCACCTCCACCTCCACGCTCCCTTGCGCCACCCCCGCCACCCCTGTGCCTTCTCCCTGCCCGCCCAGGAATAGGCCCGCTCCCTCTTCCTCGCCCTCCGCTGCCTCTGCTGCTGCGGTGGCTGCATGTGCTGGTGGTGCGTGCGGGGTGTGAGCTTCAGCAGCAGCAGCAGCGGAGTGGGGCGCGAGGAAGAGGTGCAGGGGAGGAGGCAGCGCGTGGGAGGGCGATCTGCCCGCCCTGCACCGCCGCAGCACCACCTGCCCATGGCGATGGATGGCGATGGATGGGGGTGGATGGCGATGAATGGCGATGGGGATGGGGATGGGGATGGGGATGGGGATGGGGATGGGGATGGGGATGGGGATGGGGATGGGGATGGGGATGGGGATGGGGATGGGGATGGGGATGGGGATGGGGATGGGGATGGGGATGGGGATGGGGATGGGGATGGGGATGGTGATGGTGATGGGGATAGGGATAGGGATGGGGATAAGGATGGGGATGGGGATGAGGATGGAGATGGGGATGGGGATGGGGATGGGGATGGTGATGGGGATAGGGATAGGGATGGGGATGGATGGAGATGGGGATGGTGATGGTGATAGGGATGGGGATGGGGATGGGGATACATGAACACACAGGGACGGGCCATGCAGAGGCGATTTGTACACGCAGGGATGCAATGGCGTGCATGAGATACATAGGGAGGTGCGGAATGCAACGAGGGCGGGGAGTGAAGTATGACGATAGGCCATGAGGATTCAGGCAGGAAAACTAGGGCACGAGGATAAGCGCATGAGATACAAAGCATGCCCTCTCACCCGCGCTGCCCTCTAACCCGCACCGCTCTCACCTGCTGCTGCGGCGAGGCGGCCAGGCGCGTTTTCAGCGCGTCGCTGCGCACAGGCAGGTCGCGCACCCACACTCCGCCCTTGCCCCCGCTCACTCCCCACCCCTCCGCCCCATCCCCTCCGCTGCTACTGCTGCTGCGGCTGCTGTTGGGCGCGGGGGGCGCGGAGAAGAGGTGGCGGAAGGTGGTGGCGGGCAGGTGGCGGTCGGCGGGCCAGAGGGCGAGCGTGGGCATGCTGGTGAGCGCCGTCAGCGCGTACGCCGCGCACACCGCGTGCACGCGCTCCGATAGAGTGCCCTGGGGGGAGGTGAGAAGGGGGGAAAGAGGAGGGGGGAAGGACGGGACCGGGGGGAGCGGAAGAGATGGGAAAGCGATGGTGGTGGGGAGGGAGGGGGGAAGAGGGAACGGGGGAAGGGAGGAGGGGGCGTGGGAGGTTGCGGAGAGGGGAGAGGGGGGGGGATTCGATAAGAGCATGATCGTGAGTGTGTAGTGGTGAAGCGAAGTCCTCATGGCCCGGCACCGCATGCACGCGCTTCTGCAGCGCGCGTTGGGGAAAGGAGAAAGGGAGAGTGGGGGGGGAGAGGGGGGGTCCAGGGGGAAGGTGGGTTGGAAGAAGAGAGGGTATAGGGAATGTGGCGACGAAATCAGGGGCCAGAGCGTATGACGAGGGGGAGGCGGGGTGGAAGAGGGAATAGAGAATGCGAGCGACGAAATCAGGGGCCAGGGACGCACAGGCACGCACGCTGCACGCACACGCACTGACAGAGAGCCCTGGGAAGAGAGCGCGAAGCGGGGCGGGGGAGCCATAGGGGCGAAGGGGAAGGGGCGGGGGAGCCATGGGGGCGAAGGGGAAGGGGCGGGGGAGCCATAGGGGCGAAGGGGAAGGGGCGGGGGAGCCATAGGGGCGAAGGGGAAGGGGCGGGGGAGCCATAGGGGCGAAGGGGAAGGGGCGGGGGAGCCATAGGGGCGAAGGGGAAGGGGCGGGGGAGCCATAGGGGCGAAGGGGAAGGGGCGAGGGAGCCATAGGGGCGAAGGGGAAGGGGCGGGGGAGTTTATGAGGGAGGGGTCATGGGAGAGAATGGGGAGAAAGGGAGAGAGGAGGGGGGGGGGGGGGGGAGGGGGTGGGGGGAGGAGGGGATGATGAGGGATGGACGGGATTGGCAGATGACGGAGACGGATGTTGGGGGACGGCATCACAACGAAGCGCGCACCTCTGCAAGAATCACCGCGGCGGCATCGGCGCATTCGTTCCCCCCACTGGCGTCCGCGCATCTCCACGGATCCACCTCGCCTGCCCTCCCGCCGTCCCCGACATACGCGTCTTCGCTACCATCTGCGAGGTACCCGCTCAGCTCCCCCGTTTCGCGGCTCGCTTTCCACAAATCCGCGATTTTCTGCGACGCTTTGAGCAGCGCCTTGCCGTTGAGAACTGTGACGTCGATTTTGTCGCTCGTGTCGCGAGACAGGCTCCAGTGCGACAGCCCGGCGACTGTTGCGACGACAAGGAGCAGCGGGGGGAGCAGCCATTGCATGCGGCGAGGCCGCTCGCCGCTGCCGTGCGCCTTCCGCTTGCCGAGCATGATCGTGTGAGTCATTGCCAGGAAGAGTCCGCGACGCGTGTGCGACGCGTGCGACACGTGTCCGACTCGTCAGCGACGCGAGTTATGCCTATGCAAGTACGAGGTTTGGCTACTGACGACAGTAGCAGGCGGATCCGTCGCGAAAGAGATGGCGGCTAGTCCGCGATGAGAACGCTGATATGGGAAACGCCCATGCATTGATGGTGACTGTGGAACGCGCTGGATGCTCCGTGTTCAGTACAGAGCTCTAATCACCACCACCACCACTGAGGCACTCGTGAGTGGTGTTGGGATTCGGACTCAATTCGGATTCTGTCGCTCTGCAGTCGGGAGCAAGGCACGCGGGCGGTCTGAAAGTGTCTGAAAGCGTTTACCCTAAAGTTCTACCTGATCCTGCGCATGTAACGGTCGTATTTGCTGAGCTCAACGGAGTGCGACGTCTTTGTCCGCTCCACATTGTGACAAAAATACCTTCCGCACCCGCACATAAAAAGCCTACACCCATGCTTCTGACAGCCGAGATAGATGCAATTTCTTCAGATTGACTTCTAAGTTCGCCAGCCCACACTTAGTTTCCCCCGCTTCTGAAGGCGGCCATTTCGCTATCTCTAGACCCTTGAAGCCTCTGACATCATCACTTGGAGCAAGTCGGCGCCAATCTGACATCTGACGCCTACCAACTAACCAGACCAGACCAAAGAGGCTTGCTTTGCTTTGTTTGACCAGGAGGTCGGGGAGGATGGAACGAGATGGTTGGTGGTGGAAGGTTTGGCTTGGGAGGGACGGGCTGGTGAAACATGGGGCAGCTTTTGAAGGCGCTTCGCATTTCTCGATGCGGGGCGGCGGGTCAACCTGGTCTGGTCTGCGGGGAGGAGAATCTTGGCTTGGGGCTTGATTGGAGGAGGGCGGGGGCGGCCTGACGGGTGGGGCGCGCAGGGGCCTGTCTTGGGGATGTTGGCGTTTGTGGGGCACGGATAAGCCTCGGCTATTGTGCGCAGTCGCAGGGAGGCTCGACAGGCGACGACCAAACCCATACCACCTTGGTTCTGCTTTAGAACATCACCGAACTCCCCTGGTGTCTCGCCCCGAACCGTCGGCGCGACACCAAGCCTGGCAGGCATGACACCGGAGCAACTCGTTCTGACAAAAGTTGTAAATTCGCAAGTCTGATTGATTGTGGTGTGTGAATGTGCGTACACTTGATGCTCATTAAGTGCATGCAACCTTAACAGCACTTAGTTTCTTTTTTTATTAATGAGTATTATACACCGAGATAGGCAAGTCCATACAATCAAAACGGTCGTAACCGCACTTGAGGGGATAGCAGGGTGCTGTTACAGATGAGACACCTAGAGACGGATGTTGCTCGCCCTCCGCTTGGACCACAGTGCAAGCAAAATCACTTGTCCACTTCCAGCTTTTCCCAACATATTCTGCTCTTCTACCAGGTTGCAGTGTTGTCGTTTACCCGCACAGCTCTGAATTTGGAATGAAGATGCGTGCATGCTGCCTGAATGCGAACTCAATTTTTTGGAGGACACGTCGCGAGCGGAACCTCTGCCTCCGGAACATCGCTTCACACCTCTCAACCCAAAGCTGATGGAAGGCGATGGATGTGAGGTGAGTTCAGGAAATGGGAAGCTGGATCCTGTTTTCCGGAACAGAAGGTCATCGAGAGTGGCTGTTGAACAGTTAGGATTGGGCATGCGTAGGGCCCGTCGGAGGGCCGACGAAACTGCCTGAATCCGAGGGCAGAGGAGGAGGCGGTGTTCTAATGTTTCTGGTTCCTCGCGGTACGGGCAGGACGGTTTGCTGCTGAGGAAAGCAAGCCGTTCTCCCACTTGTACATTGAGACCGTGGATGTGACAAGCACGTCACGTGGACGGCTGGGCACCGCAAGCGAGTCCCTCGTCCGCACCACCCTTTTCCAGTCAATTTTCCTGCCCCATCTTTCTGCCCACATCTCCCCTTCTTTGACTCCCGGTACCTACCCTCTTAGCGGTCTTTCATCCTCCTCAGAGAGATCACCTGCTCATTCTCCAAGACATTCAAAGGGGGTGTTGAGTCAGCCGAGCGCGGAGGGACTGTGGGAAAACCCAGCAACCCCATCCAGTGTGCCGGTATGGCAGCAAAAGCCTTTAGCACCAGCCTAGCCTGTGCGCTGCCTCTGAGCAGCCGCGCTAGCTCCTTCGACTGCTTGTGTGCCTGCGCGTTCCTTCGAACGCCTTCATTTCCAGTGCCGAAGACGCAATGAGATGTGACGGCCAACTCCATTTCCGTCATTCCTTTCGGTTCCGCCTCGGCGCTCTCTTCTTCTTGGATTGCCGCGAGATCTCTCTCCACTTATTCTGTGTAGCTTGGTGTGGGTGTGAAGCAGGTGCTGCAGAGGCCGCCGACTTGGTGGAAAGTTTTCTTTTGAGGGTGGGGACTGCGGCGAATCCATGGGCGTCCGTTCGGGTATTGCCATGACTCCACGTTCATGTAAGGGAAGCCCAAAGGAGCGAGATCCAAGTGCTCGTTCGATGATGCATGGCAGTTGGGAACGTCAAAGTCCAGTACGTCGACACCGCCAAGCGAGCCGTCTCTTCCGAGGTATTTGTGCGACTCGACGGGCGTGTATGAGGGAGAGTAGGTGAGGATGAGATCGCGAGTGTAGGGGTCTGTGGCGAGCATGACTTCGTAGTCTGTGAGTTGCCCCGCAGACAGCAAGTTGAAGCGTAGATCCAGCACGTAAAGCACGTCATTGAAAGAGATGTGCGTATTGCTTTCTCGGGCTTGCAGCACCACAATGCCTTGCGCGCTGGCGCGAAGTTGTTCGTTGTTGGCGACAGTGATGTAGGTGGCGGGAGCGCGGCTGATGTTCGAGATGTAGCGGACAGATCCCACCATATGCTGACCACAGCAGCTGTTTAGGTACCAGGTATTGTAGTTGTTATTGTTGTTGCGCAGAACTAATGCGAGTCGCGGTGTGACGAGGGTTGCCTTGCATCGCCTGTGGAAGGAGGGATCCCCATCCTCTTTCCATCCAACAGGGACAAAGCGTTGGTTGTCGTGGGGTGGGCTTTCACGCAGTTGTATAGGCTGATGCCAATCTTGTTCATCTTCATCGTACAGATAGTAGTGATCTTATGTGAGGGAGTTGTTACACCCTTCTTTAGGTTGAATGAGCTCGCCGCGAGTTTCTTCCTCCTCGTCTGGTTCAGCGGTGCGCGGGCGACGTCTTGTCGCCATGTTTGCGATTACGTTTCTGGGAGCTCCTACTGGGGGTGCTTGTGTCAGCTATTGTTGTTGGTGCTGTGCAGGAGGGCGAGAAGCTTGGTGTTGAGGCTGAGAATGACGAGCGTCTTGTCGGCCGACCCAGTTGTTGTGGTGAGTGGAATTTGGGTGGCGATAGTTGGACCAGGATTTGCATCGGTCTGTTGAGCGTCTGAAGATTTTGCAGATTTTGCAGTAATAGCCCCTTGGCTGACGTCACTCTTCACGATTGTCTGTGTAGAAGGCTAGGCGCTCTCGACACGGCGCTAAGCTTGTCCTACTCGAGTCCATGTCCTGTTGTTCAGTCAGGAGAGCGGCGCATAGCGTGGCTGCTGAGATAGTTCCTAGTAGCGCCTTGCAGGGCTTCCACTCGGGCCCAAGTCCTCGGAGGATGATGTTGACGAAGATCTCCTCCAAAAACGCGCTTCCATGCTTCGTGATCTGATCATGGATGTTCCGGCGGCGGTTAATATAACGGTTCGCTTTCTCCCCGTGCCCCATCTTGGTCTCCATGAGTTGCTGCAGGAGCCTGCTGGAGGTGACTGAGTCCTTCGGCTGATATACCTCAACGAGGTGCTTCCAGGCCACCAGGGCTGGAGCGGCGCTCTCTTTGTAGGAACGGATGCCGAGTTGCTCCGCAGGCGTCATATTGCGTACTAGCACACTGTACGCCATGAAGGATTCGCTCTAGTACTGAGCCCGGTCGCCGTCGGTGTCTTTCACCTGTTTAGGATAGGAGTCGTCAAAATAGTCGTAGATCTGAGTTGAGGAGCTCAAGCTCAAAACTCCATGTATAAAAATCCTTGCCATCAAACGCGACAGAAGTCTTTATTTTTGAAACGCTGAGGAAGCGTGCTTGTGCAAAGTTGATGGCTTCGTCACTTGGACGGGGGGGTAGTTGATGTTGATTTGTCCGTGTCAAGGAAGAAGATGTGTGGGGCAGTATATTTGCTTTCCGAACCGGTTGATTAGGTTGTGGTGGTTGGGAGGAGGTTCCTGCGTCGCCATTCCGTAGTGCTTGGAGATCTTTCTCCATGGTTGATAGTCACGAAAAATAACTGTTCGAGTACGGCAGTGCTGATCGTAATTGTTGCCTCATTTGTCGCAGCTGGGTGGTTTGTCCTTCGGCCGTCAGATTCGTTTGACCTCCAGATCCTCCGGCCATCTTGGTCTTGGAGCGTGTGCCGCTCGCCAGATCTTGGTTCGGCAAATTTTACGGAAGTGAAGTTGCGGAGGATCCCTGAATAGCTCTCAAACCATGTTACAATCCCAACTGGAACTTAGCGAAGGATAGCGAAGGATCGCTCAGGGTTGATCGCAGGTAGTATTGCAGCGGAAGTGTTGAACTCAGGTCAGAGTGAATGTAAATGACTAAGATGATAATAGCATACATACATTGAGTTTATATAGCAAATACAGGGAATACGAAACGACCTAACTAGCCATATACTCTAAGGGGTACATTCCCTTATTGCAGCGAAGTTCAAACCGTGCGGCGCGGGAACCAGTTTCAAACCTGTTCCCGCTCTTTTCATTTCAAATGTTAACTGCCTGCATCGGTCTTGATCTGACGGTTGCTGGTGTCGCTTCGACTCTTCTGACGCCTCGACTTCGTACTCGGTAGAGTCGGCTCCTGCAGCATAAAGGAACGTCTTCTCATTGAATTTCATATCGTAACTGGTGTAGACGTTCGGAAAATTTGGTTGAACTTTTGGTGGTAACCTTTTTCGTCAATCTTGCCAATC